GGGAGCACCGTAATACTTTGCATTGTGACTTCTCCAGAGTTGGTTTCTTTCCAGTTGCTCACATCTCAGCATGTGGAATTATTGCGCTTTCTCCCGATTTGCCACAGAGTTGGCAGTGGGCTGACATGGTTAGTCATTTGAATTGTATTTGGATCCGAGCTGATATTTTTATTTTATTTTATTTTATTTTATTTTATTTTATTTTATTTTATTTTATTTTATCTTATTTTATTTTATTTTATTCTATTCTATTTTATTTCATTTTTTTTTTTTTTTTGGGGGGGGGGGGAGGTGCGTTTATTTACTTCGAAACACATTCTTTGCTTTTGAAAATATGCGCCGTGCATTTTATAGCCTGTAAAATGGAGGAAGGAGGGAAACAAATGAGAGAAGGTGAGAGGATTGTGGCACGGCTGTCCCTTCATTCCCCTCCCCGTACCATTTTTGTAGTTGCCTACAGAAGAACCCCCTCCCCATAGGAGGGAGTGGCCTTATAGCGATGAAGGTACGTTGGATTTGTGTGTGTGTGTGATACTGTATGAAGAGCACGGGGCAAGGGAAAGGATGTGGGGTGGGGAGAGCAGGGGAGGGTGGAGAGAGGGAAGAGTTATCCTCCAAGTGCTGTACCTTGAAATAACCCAAGGGAAAATAGTTGCTGCCTCACTTGAGTTGCTTTCAAAATCTTGCTGTGCGCTTTTACTTTTTCTTTTACTTCTTCTTTTTATTTTTTTTTGGTAGAGCATGGGGGGGGGGGGGGGGGCCAACAAAAAAAAGAAAGAAACGGAGCCAAAGAAATAGTGAAGGCTTGATCTTGGCTTCCATACAAACAGATGTTGCCTGTCATTCCGTGGTTAAGCAGACAGCAGATTGCAGCGAGCAGCAGCAGTTCAGGGGAACTGCAGCAGACCTGGAAAGTGGGAGATGCCTTATAGAAATACCTTTTTTCTCGCTGTTCTGCACATGAGTATTTTTTTCCCTGGAATTATCCTTCATTACGTGTCTGTTTTCAATTATTTTCATTTTTTTTTTTTTGGTACTTTTTGAATATTTATTTTTCAGCGGGCACAACAAACCCAGAGCAAAATGGGAAAGTGCTGGGAACTCTCCCTAATATTACCAAAGCCTTTCGGGCTGCTCTGGGGAGCTTCTCAGTCTGCTTTTTTGTTCTTTCTCCCATAGGCGAACACATGTAGGAAAGAAGGGTATTTTGGAAATGTTTAAGGCCCGGTAAGTGAATGTTCACCACGACTCAGGGCAGGCACTGTGTTTCTGCTGAGCTCGCCCCGCAGTGCTGTATGTGGGATCGTGAAGGTTGAAGGCCTTTCTGTCTCCTTTCCAAGTTTTAGCAGCACTGTAAGAACAAGAATCCCGCTGTTTATACAGTAGAAGTTCTAACGAAGCACTGAGACGCTCCATCCCGTGGCTCTTTTGTGTTCTGTCTGTGCTTGCGGGTCTAATCCCCCTCATTTTCTATGCTCTCGCTTTTTATTTTCCCCCCTTTTTGGTTTTTAATTTCTGCTTTCCAATTTCATCATCGGGAGAGAGAACAGCACAGCGTGGGGAGCTCTGAGCCGAAAGAGTTAAAGTTTCTTGGCACGGGAGCAGCAGTTTAGCAACAGATCAATTCATTTAAATGAAAGAAATCACAGACCGAGCCATCTGATTTTGAAATTTCACATCTTATGGCTCCACTTTAGAACAAAGCTTCTGTTTTTCTTTCCCCTCTTATTAATAATTCACGCCGCTTTTGTTTCAGCCCGTTGCTTTTCACGGGAGCTTTCGGTTGTCTGTAGCCTTTTTTTCTCTCTGTTTTTTTTTTTGGTTTTTTTTTTTTCCTCTTAAAAATATGAAATACCGGGGCTGTGTTCGCCTTCTGCGCTTTGCTCTGCTGCAAAGCCAGCCGTAAACCTCTGCTCAGCACAGCTGGCGTCAGAGCTGGTTGCACCCTGGGTGATCGCCGCTTGGAAACATCTTCCATGCGCTGCCCAGCGGGTTGCACACACCTCTGTGTGCTCAGCCATGTGCACAGGAGGGATTTCTGTGCCCGGATACAAGGTGCACAGCCGGCTGCAGGCAGTGTGTGTGCACCAGCAGGCGGAAGGGCTGCATCACTCTGTGCCTTACGGTGTATCTGTATCTTGCGTGGGAGCCCTCGCGGTGTGTTTCATGGCTGGTTAAAGTCTGGGGAGGATCACGAGTAACTTTGGGTGGCTTTTTGGTCATTGAAATGCGTTGGGCTTTGGTGCCAACCCTGATAGTTTGGTTGTTTTTTTTTTTCCAATAAGTAAAATGAAATAACTAAATTCATCTACAGCATTTTTAAAAAGGAACGCATCTCATCTTTTACACAATCTCCTTTAAAAATAATAATAATAATAATAAATCATTCTTTTCTGATAAATGACAGCTTTTGGTGCAGGGGTTCACAGACCCCAACCGGGTTGGGGTGGCAGCTTTGGCCCCACAGTGCTGAGCCTCTTCCCAGCATGTTGGGTGCATGAGGGGGGGATGCCTTTGTTCAGCCGCTCCCCAACCTCAGCTCCCCCTGCATGAGATCCCCGGTGGGGAGGAATGGCTGTAAGTGGATTTTAGGAGTGTGAAGGGGGGTGAGGTAGCACCCTCCACCCATGGCTGGCTGTAGATGTGGGCGCTTTTATGGCTCCCTGCCCTTCTGCCAGATCCCAACCGCGTTGCAGGGAGACGGCAGGGTTCGGAGCGCCGAGCCCGTCCCCCCCAATATCGGACTGTTTCTGTGAGTGTCGTTGTGGTTACATCACAGAGCGCTCCTTCCTCATCTCCATTCTTGTGCAAAATTCAAATAATTCCCCCCCCTCCCCGATAGCAGCTGTGCATGGTTTTTTAAGTCGGTCTTTAACGTTGCGAAAGGAACAATAAAATGAAAGGCAAAACCGGCATCTTAAAACTTGGCAAGTGAAAGCAGCTTGGACTGGCAGCCAAGAATCCTGCTGTGGTGCAAAAAGAATAGCATCCACGAAGCCACCACAATCCGGGGTTTCGCTTCTTTTAACAATCGCATCGGCAGCGAGAAATAATTATTCCTTGTATCAGTGTTAAAAGAGTCAAAAAGCTTAAAATGCTTGCTTGGTGAACCTTCTCAAAAGCAGGTAACGATCCTCCTATTTGATTCTGTTTTATCAAACTTTAATTGGATAAGGATCTCTGTATGATAACTAATCAGTGGGAGAAGTGGATGCGTGTTACTAACTAGCAGGGGATGCGTTTGCTGTTACAACTTCCACGGCGCTTTATTTGTCTTAATCGCTTTGGTGCCGATAGAATTGGCAAAGTTCTGAGATGTTTGTGTTGCAAGAAATGTTTTGTTTCCGTGGGTTGGAATCGCTGCGTTGGGGAGGGCAGGAATGGATCGATCCGAGGTGGAACGTGGAAAATCAGCTTCCCTAAAAAATGAAATTAAAAAGGGGGAAAGTTGAGTGGGGGGAGGAATTCCTCCCATAGGATTGCCTGTTCCTTTCGCTTCTGAGGCTGCAGCCTCTGCATGTGTGAAGGTGGGATCCATTTCTTGAGATTTGGCCATGAAAACATCCGTAAATATTTTGTCTTCCAGAAAGCACTGCTCGTCGAGTTGGGCCTAGCAATATGGCAGCGCACGTTCGGTAAGGAATCTCATCAAGTGCTGCTACGAGGTAATTTGGTTTCTCCTCGCCTCTCCACTCACTGCCTTCCTTTTTCCTTACAATTTCTTCTCATTATTTCAGTGCAGAAATCTATTGATACAGGTCTTTGTGCTGAAGGTAGAGAGCGTGTGTGTGTGTCTATACATAAATATATGTGTGTATATATTTGTATGTATTTACAAGCCTAAACAGACTGGGGAGGGAGGTAAGGAACAAGAATGGGGATTATTTAGTGGTTGTTTTTCTCATTTGACTTATTTTCGTGGCAGAAGTACGAAATGGCTGCAAACAGTGCTTTGCTCAGGCACACAATGCATTCCATAATGATCGATTTTCCTGGACAGGGCATTTATGCTTCGTGGTTTGCAAGAATACCACCCACAGACCGAAACCAACGTTGTGTCTTTAGAGACTTTATTTCTCCATGTTGCTTCCTATATTCCTTTGGCTGTAAAGCCATAACATGCCAATCTCAGGCGGGCTTAATGCTAAACAAAGGTGTTGTGCTTTTTTTGGGTGCCAGGCTCTAGAACCAAAGCTGTGCTGATCCTGTGCTCATCGACATGTTATAAAATTAATGGGGAAGCAAAGCATCCTTGGGATCAGGATATCACAATCCTTTATGTAAGGAGTACAGTCCGTGAGGTGCAGGTGGAGGCTTTTTATTTGTGATCTTAGCATTCCAGTCAAATACAGTGCGAAGGCGATTGATTTGTTTGCCTACCATAGATTTTCTGCCACTGTGTGTATGTTCATCAGGTTTTCAAAAGGTACAATAGCTGTATGATTGATCAGTGGGGGGAAACGTTTTGAAACCCACATCTTGTGTAATCTTTGGCACTCCTTCAGTCTCCCTGAATATGGTTGATATACGTGAAATTAATTTTTTTTTCAAGCAGAAACATTTTTAAAAACAATAACAACCCTTGTATTTCCCTTTTCACTTGCTGCTGCCCCTATCAGTTCACCGTATCAGAAATTATCCATGAGTTTCTTTTGCAAAAGGCATGAGAAGGAGGAGGTTGGCTGCTGGGCACTTGTCATTTGCAGCACGTAGGTGCCACTGAATGCAGTCCGTGTGCCACCACGCTGCCTTTCCTCGGGGCCCACAGGAGCACAGAAGTGGTCGATGAGATTCATGGTGGGGGCCTGACGGAGTGTTTTCTTTGGCACACATAGGTGCTTTGCTAAAGATAGCTCCTTCTGCCTTCACTTTCCTTTTTTAACAGCTGAAGCTATGGTGATGGAGCCTAACGCTCGTTCTTCCCTTTTGTTCTGTGAAGCAGTCAGGTAGAGAGGCGCTGGGAGATGGAGGGCCAGGACTGCAGCACAGAGCAGCTCTCTTTTAGGCAGCTGAAGAAAGAGCATATTTTGGTTTTTGGTCAACACCTACCAGCTGCCCTGACGAGCTCTCAGGCGGTCTGCCTTGTTCTGTCTCTGTGATCATTCCACGATGAGGACAAGTTGCTGAAGTGCATTGGGTGCCTGCAGTTTCCATTCAAACCAGTGCAAGCTGAGGGCACACGTCCTGCCACAGGAGGTTTGTGCAGGCCACCCACACGCCACGACTTGGTTGCCTTCAAGGGCTTCAATTATATCCCAGTGGTTAGAAAATGAGTCTGTGAGATATTAGGGAGAAAAACAAAGATTTAGAGCTAGGGAAAGCTAGTAGAAGTGTAACCTTCGCATAGGATGTGTGCTTCAGTGAGATCAGTCCCTTCTCACACAAAAAAATAAGGGGTTTCTTTGCCAGCAGAGCCGTGCAGATCATCATCATACCTTCACGCATATACATTAGAGTAGAGAAAATTAGGGTCAAAATGTACTCTTAAAAAAATACTGTGTTATGCAATATTGCATTATAGCATGGGAGTGACTTACAAAGGTCTGATGGAAAAAATCCTTGCCATTGTACGAAATGCTGATAGAGGCAGCAGCAGTGTGACTGACTCCTAATACTGTGCTTATTTGGCTCAATCAGAAGGGTCAAGAGACAATCTGAATCACAATCTTAGCTCCCCTGAAATAAATGAGCTCCGTGGTTGGAGGGTTTGGGTTATTTTTGGTGGGGCAGCATTTGTTCTACGCCATTTGCAGCTCAGTTCCAAAGGAGTGCACAGTGAGTGTGTTTGTGCATGACGTGACTCTGTTCTGTCTGCAGGACCATGTGCTCTCTGCCCCATTGCCTCGAGTGCACTGCAGGGTGAAGGCTTTTGGAAAGCTGGGGATTCTCATTGCACGCCGGCTCCTACCTAAAAGCTTTCCTGGTTTTGCACAGATGCCGAACTCTTGCACCTCCTGTTCTTGGTCTGAATTTTGGGCTCTGAGAACTGTGGAAAAGCTGAATGCTATCAAGGTAGGTATGGGAGTCTGAAGTGTAGGAATATAAATTTAGGCAATCAGTTTAGTAGATAACCTTTGGACAGATGGTGAAAGTTTAACATCTCTATTGCTGGATGTGGAGCAAGAGTTGCACATAACTCAGTTAAAGCAGTATTCCAACAAAAGGAAATTGTATATTAATTGCATGCTTACCAGGGTGTGCAGGTTGAAGTGTTTTAAGAGCCTACACAAGAAGTGGGGGAACTTTTGAAAGCATCAAAATAGCAAAATATTTTTCCACGTGCTGACTGCTTCATTTTATAGGCAATAATCTGAAGAAAGAGGAGACGCAGCAAGTAAAAATGTGGATACACTTTAAGCAACAATTGCTCTGACTGATTTTGTGCACAGGCAGCCTGCTCTGTGGCTTAATTCCCCACCAGTTGCCCACCCAATAAAACTTCATTAATGGGAAATGTTAGTTACGCCAGCAAGAAAACTTGGAAACTTTGGGGGAAGGAGGGGAGGTTTCTTGCTGGTAACTTTGCTCCACGATTCTCTTTGAGGAGTGGTTAGAAAAAATTCTAAAGCAGTTTAATATCTGTCTCTGTCATTGTAGGAAGAAATGCTGTCAGGTAGCAGTGAGTTGGAGCTGGGGGAATTTTCTGGATCGGTTCGTGAAGCGAAAGGATTCTTTCTCTTTAAAAATAGAATGACAATAGCACCCGGCCCTGTAATGACTTCTCTGAAAGTTAAAACAACTCAGAGGCAGTTGCTCTGCTTCCACCGGGCTGCCAGCATGGAAACGAGACCACTTCTTGCGGGATGGGGGTATGTGTTTATTGCGCTGCTGTCTGCACACAAAAACTGCTCTTTCTTAACTCGCTGCACCGTTAGCGATACGCCGCTGGTGTTGGCCATGGCTCTTTCAGTGCTGTGTAACCACCAGCGATTCTGCCCAGGGAAGTAGTTAGGAGAAAAAGGAAAAAAAAAACCCAAAAAACAACAAACCCGCTGATCTCCTGCTTTCTTTTATTTGTTTTAAAGTTGGTTTTGTTTCACCGAGGTTTTGAAGGAAACTGTAGCAACAGTGCTAATGGTGTCGCAAAGCCAAGAGGCGGCTCTTCCCCCCTGGGGGAAGCGGTGTGGAGGTGCTGAGGGGCACGAAGGCTGCTGCCTGCTAACAGCTCTGACATTTCATTTGCAGAAATGCTTTTCCTCTTTTAAAACAAAAACAAAACAAACCAAAGCCCAAAGCCAAACCTAACAAATTGCAGAAGAGACCCATGCCTGTTGCCACAAACCCGTAGATCCGAACTTGTGGTCATATTCCACACAAGCTTGTATCTATAGGTATGTGTCTGTCTGGCAAGTGCACAAAGTGTTGTGTTTCTGCATTTACACTGATGATGTTCGATTCTGCTGTTTGTGTCTTTCGTCTAATGCCTTCTTCCCTCCTCCTTTTTTTCTTTTTAAGAAATGTAAAAGCAGAGCTGCAGATCTCGCTCTGCAGTTACCGTATCAGTTTCCGGTTTGGGTTAGTGTTAAAATACCAACTAACAACTCATTTGTGCCTGAACGAAATGGGACGGGGGAGGTCTGTGACATCAGCCTGAAGAAATGAAATCGCAGCGACGTTACACGTGGGTCTGGCTGTGGGGCATGGGCAGGGGTGGTTCTGAGGTTGCTGGGAGCAGAGAAAGCTGTTTCATTTATCAAGTGAGGGGGATCCATTCTTTGCTCAGTGGCGATTTGTTTGTGGGAGCAAGAGGTGCTTCTGTTCTGTTCTTTATTTTGGGTAACTTCAGTCCCTGTGCACAGTGCAGCCGTGCAGCTCAGTGCCAGAGCCGCCCGTTGGCTCTCCGACTCCTTTCTCTCTCTAAAATCAGCTCGGTATAGAAGCCAGGTTCTCTTAATTTTGTGGTATTTATTTCGTTTTAAATGGTTTTTAAAGTAGAGCAGGGGAAAAACCCATGTAAGCACGCAGTAATGAAACCTGCTGGGCAAAACTGACATTTCTAAGTGGAACAATTACTTTTGAAGAAGTTTTTTTCAACCCCAACATACAGATCCTATGTGAAAATAATTAGAATGTGAACTCAAAATAAAGTCTGACTGTTTCTTTCCAGTGTTAATTTCACCAAAGATTTGGTCTGTATTTCCACTTTTAAATTTCTCTGTTTTTGAACTTGGCTGGTTTGACACACGCTGCTGCGGTCCAAAAATGGTTTTTGTTTTTTTTTTTTTCCCCTCCCTTGCTGAATTTCCAGGGTTTTCTGTGTGTTTTCTGCTTAATGTAGATGCATAAAACAATGGCAGAGAGCTAACAGAACTGCAGTCTAACTGCTTTTATTTCTTCATGTGGATTGAAACTAGCAAGAGGTGACCGAGAAGGATGCAGGATGCTCTTCCAGGCAAAGCTTTCACAAAGCCATAGTGAAGCCTTGCTGTGATTTACTGCCCTGGACATGCACCTGGAGTCCAGATCTCCCCTGGGCATTGGTTGCCATCACCTGTGAAGTTGCTGAAAGCTCCCAGTGCTCAAACAGTGCTTCCTGACTCCTTCCCCTTTGCTGGTGGACCTTGTATCCGTGGTGGAATGAATAGGGTTTCTCCTGCAGTAGATGCAGGATGAGATTGCATGTTGTGACAGTGAGGTTTGTTTTTTTTAGAGAGGGTGTTATGGTTTTGCTGTTTTTCTTTTGTTTTTAAATGCTGTGAATATGCAGTGTATTAGATTCCAGTGTTTGTGGCTATCAGGGAAACCTTGGTTGATTCAGTCTGACCTCTGAAGAGGAATGATCTGGCCAAATGCAGTTCCCAATATAATGTGTATTTGTGCATGGTGGTCTCTTCCCTGTAAAGCCATTTGGAGACATCAGGCATCTGGCAATGTGCTGAGAGAAACCTGGGATTTGTCGCTGAGCGTTTTGGAGTCCGCCACTACAGGTGACGTTGTGTTGGGAGTGCCAAAAACCCATGGCAAAGGAATTGGGCTCGTGTGTCACAAAATGAGATACCACCCTTGGGCTTGCGGGGGATTTGAAAGCACACTTTTGGATTAGAAGAATCAGCATTTGAGTCAAAGGGAAGAGTGCAAAACGACTTTGGGTACAGTGTTTTAGTGCAGTTCCTCACCATGCTGGGCTCTGCTGATCGATGTCCGGCTTTCTTCTTTCGGACAGAGACTTGACCTAACCACGGCTGGATGCTTAGAAAGCAAACATGAGCGATGTGCCATCAAACACAGGGCCAAGATGCCTGCCCATGCTGCTGGGCTCCCTTCTGGAGCTCAGCTTGCTTTCTGGTCGCTGCTGGTTTTCTGCTGCTTGGCAAAGGATAAGGGCAGCTGTGCCCCTGCATGGGGATGCAGCAATTCAGCCCGGTGTGAGCTGGAGATGCTCCATGGTCTGTGGGACAAGTGGACGTGCTGCAGAGCACACCCACAACACGTCACTAATTTTTTAATTTATTTTAGTTAATTTTTCTTGCTAGGCTCCTGCCAGCCTTTTTTTAGCCGTAGCCTCTGATACTTGCCCAGCCTTTGTTTTTCAGCTCAGCCTTTTGAAAAGAGCTGTATTGTGTTTTTGGCGTTAATTTGTATTTCTTTTCCGTTGGTTGTATTTCACTGCACTTCATTAAGTTTTAGAGTGAAACTCGAGTCTGACAAAATGATGGGAAGAACCTTGAAATGTGTCTTCCCTGTAGGACGGAAGAAACTAATTGGAGGCTGCGGTGCTTCTACCTGGATGTTTCTCGTGAATATTTTTCCTCACTTAGTTGATGAGGAGCTCACATTTATGCAGCAGCTTTGATCTGAGTGCCAGACAGAGTGCACAGAGATCTCTTCATCTGTCACCGAGGCACAGTGGCTGCATCCCGTTGCGCCGGCGCGCTGCAGGGTCACCATGGGCAGGGAGTGCTGGGTGCTTTGCCCAGTTTGATGTTGCAGGGAACAGAAAGAAAGAGAAGGCAGCTACTGGAGCTGGAAACAAACCAGAGCCCCTCATGCAGAATGTAGCAGGAGGGCCTCCGGGACATGAAAAAATCACAATATCCTCTCAGAAATTGCTACCTTGATCTGCACAGTGCATTCTCTAGCTATAGGCAGTCATTGCTTTAGCACCTCCCAGGAAAAAATGCCTCCTGTGGAACTAACCTGGCTACGTGTGCATCGAGGGAGGCTCTGCTACAGTAGTGCTCCGTTTCTCCAGTTAGTACAGAGGCAAAGGTTCTTGCCTGAAGAAGAAAAGCAAACCTTTACCAAAGCCAGCTCCTCTTGTTCTTCAGGTTTGGTCAATCACGGTTTTCTCCCTCAAAATAACAAGACTGCTTCTCCTTTCTGTTAATGACATCTTTCACTGAAAGGCCATTTGCAGACAGGTGTGTTGCACAGCATCCGCTGGGGTGCAAGAATGATTTCACTTGCATGCTCCCCCTTTTCCCAGTCTCATCTGGTGCAGAGCACAGCGAGCGGTGTCAGCAGAGAGGAGCACACAGTAGCATTCGGGTAATTAGGAGAACCATATGCAGTGGCAAATGGGAATCATGATAAGCAGAATGTGATTGTGTACCCTGGAATTTGAACCTTATCCAAATAGTCTTATTCAGATAATCAAATCTCGTCGAACTCTTAAAAGGCAGATAAATAACTATTTCAGTAATCTGAATTTTATTTATTGTTTTAATCAGTTCTTTGTTCTTTGTTTATTTGTTTTTAATCACTGAGGGAGAAAATAGGGAGAGGATGTTCTTATACATGGATGTTTGGGACTAAGACCCCCATCCTTGAGCCAGGCAGTCTCCATCCACTTCAGCCCCAGTGATCTGAAGGAGGAATGTCCATGCAAAACCAGCATTGGCTCTGGGACCTCCTCATGCTATGCAGAGTCTCCAACAAGAACGTTCAACCTGGGCTCTGTGAGCTTCCCACATTCCCATAAAGCAGTATGGTGCTGCTCAGCCATACAATGGACCTGGGCCTGTGGGTTTGGGGGGTTATTTAGAGTCATCAGCCCTGCAGCTTGCCTACCAGCATCACTCCTGGGCCCAGCTACTGACACAAAGCTCTCCGTGCTTCAGCAGTAAGTGCTTGGCTACCCTTCCCCTAGAAACTACCAGATCCTGAAATGTGATATTGAGTAAATCTTCAGATTGCTGTAACTCTTGCTAAAAATTCAAGCACGGACCATTTTTGTAACTTGTTGAAAAGTTTTGGGTTGCTTTCATAATATTGTAGCTGCTCTGGATGTCAGCTGAGCCCAGATGAGATTTCTTACTTTAATTTGCACACTCTGAAAGTCCCAGCTCAGCCCAGCCTCTAGGAGTAAACCTGAGCTGGAGTAAACCTTCAAACCTCTTGAGGTTCCTCAACCGAGTCCTAATAGTGAAGCTGCATCAAGCAAACCTCGAGGGGTGAGCTGATCAGATGGAATCACATCAGCATTTCCATTGTAAAATCTCATCTGTCTGAGGTTTTTGAAAGTCCTCTGTTAAACAGATCACTCCGAGCTGAAGTTTAGCAAACAAGATTTCTGACCTCAAACCGGAACGATATCGTTTGTGGGTTTGGGTATTTATTTTTCTTTCTCCATGACTTCAGGAAATGTGTTTGCTTCAAGAGTATTTTCTGCTTTCCACCTCCTCCTTGGCAAGCCCTGCAGTTGCCTGCCTGGGATCTGAATGTGAAGGTGGGCTCTTCTTTCTTCTGTAGCCTTCACGGTCAAAAAGGCTCAGAGCCAAATCTCAGCTGATGATCTTGCAGCTGATCGTAACAAAACAGAATTCTGCTTCTTTGAGCTCATGTGTCCTGAAGTTCCGTTGCTGGTATCATTGCTGTCTCAACTCTGTATGGTCAATAGGAGCAATCTGCAAATGCACACACAGTATGGTGTAACTTAGGAGGAGTAATACGTGGGGCACTGCTTTTTGTGTCAGTGTTTTGGGGGATATTATGCCCTCTGAAGAGCTGTTTTTCTGTGGAACGTGCTGCTTTGCATTGCAAAATGTTTTAAAAGAATGGAATATTCCATTAAATCCTTGAAAAGCAGCGCTGGATTAGAATTTTGCCAACATTCTTGGGAAACCAAATGTAAAGTTTGGCTTCTTC